GAGGTCCACATTTGTAGCCATCTTCGTCTGTCCAGCCCTGGCTGCGGTATCTGCTTTTGGACTCAACGGATGGAAGGTTACTAGCTGAGCTCCACTCTCTTTGTCTGCTGAGAAATGAATACCTCTATAGGCTGAATTTGGTATCCCTCCTGGTACACACGCGCTTGATCTATCATATGATTTCTCAACGTGAGGTTTTACCGGTTAAAATGGACCTTAACTGAACCCTCCTTAGTTTTGCCATCCCACCCACTTTCAGCAATCCAGAATTCTTGAAAGCATGGCAGCAGTCGTTCCTGTCTGTCGCGATGTCGCTGAATCCGAATGATGCTACAGTCGTCACCCCCAACTGGAGCAGCTGGGATCACGGATCCACGGAGATGATGTTCAACAAGACAGATGATGACGAACCTGTCGTGAAGCCTTTCTTGACGGATAAGGGTTTGATGAAGCGTTGCAAGTAAGTCGTCCTGCCTCCTCCTCTACGAAGTTAAGTGTCCACCGTGTTCTTGCTAGGTTCTGGGTCGAGGTATCCCCGGAGACATCTCAGTGATGACTTTATCTCTGAAGCTAGTGTAAATTTCATCATTTTGCTCCTAACGAATGAATGTTTAACATCCCGAAGTGACATAGTGTACATTGAAAGGTTAGGTTGAAGTTGCGTAGTGTCAATGCAGCTCCTTCATCAAAAGCATCGTTGTCCCCCGATTCTGGGAAATAATAGGCAAGCGGCGTTGGATGAGGCGGACATTCTTTGGCTTGCTTGTCTCCACCAGGGTTACTTTAATCGCGTTTAATTTACATTTATTCGCGGTTTCAGCAAAAATGCAGTATGTGTAAGTGTCCTGTCACCTACTGTGGCCAATCTAGCGACTGTTCTTCAGTTTCCCGACTCGACCCTGATATTTAAGGCGATCGTTTTCATCTCTTCTGCCTACCATGGAACCAAAGAATCAGGAGTTCTGAGATGATTATTGTTTTCTATTATGGGCTCGTTTCGGCACGGTCCCGACTCCCAAGCCAATCCTACGTGTGATCTTTCAGGGTTCAATTCTGTACTTCCTTGCGGGACTATATCTTGCTAGGTATACTTTTGTATGTTCAATTTCGACTGTCTCAATGTACTCTGCTCCCCCCCAGTTATTGCAGGTCTCGTACACTGAAATCTTGTCCAAGTTCAACATACTTTGACTAGGGTTTCCCATACCGGATCTCCGGCCGAGGATGACGATAATGAGTGTTACAATTACCCATATACTTCTCCGTCTATGGAATAATATTCTTTCAGACACTATAGGTCTGCCATCGCAAAAGGTGGAATTGACAACATTCAGAGCCATGACAAATGGGGCTATGCCTTTGGAAGCGGAGGAAGGTAACATTGATATTCGACCTTATCCACAGCCTACAGGCGAACAGATTCTTCTCCCTATGTAATAGTTCCACGGTGTTCTGGGCTTCTTGCAATGTGATCTACGGTCTAGTACTCCGCTTCCCATATGTTCGAGCTGGCATGCGATTAACATGGGTCACAGTGGCGCTTACATTGGGATGGGACCGGACTGTTTACGACCACCTAGGATCAAGGGCAGGTTTTGAAGGTTTCGTCAGACTTTCTCACTGTTCGTAGTTGGGCCTGCTGGCACTATATTGTCCATTTGGTCCCCAAAGCCGGCGATACGCGTCCGATGTTCTTCACCGCATTTCTCCCTGCCTTGTATTGATGGTGTCTCTAGCAGCTCCGTTGCACAGCTTGCCGTTGACTCGTCGCAGTGGCTAGGGAGCCGACACCACCATCTATATTGATATCATCTGCCAATCCAGCATCAAATCTTATCACGTTACTATAGTTAGGTCTCGTCTTCCCTTTCAACTCAGTACAATTGAATATCGACGATTTCGAGCATACCCCAAAATGCTTGATGTGCTTCGGTTGTTTCCCTTTATGATTATTATTGTTCTTGATTTAATTTATCAGCTCTACCCCGAAACTCCGCTGCAAGCAAAGTAGGTATAAAAGCCTGAAACAGACCGGTCAGTACCGTCAGTTAGATCATGGAGTTCAATGTATTTGAATCTGCAAAATATATGTTCAGCATTTCCTACGTCCTGTTCAGCTGACCTTGCATGGAATTTAGACGTGGCGAAGACACTGGTCTTATGGGACTATCTGATAAGTATCGACGACGAGGTTGGCACTGACGGCCCTCTCCCGTGTGCTACTGATGAGCCTTTAGGTCGCCTTATTCTGGGCAAGTTTCAATTATGTAACACTTGGAGAGTTACCAGTCTCTGAAGTGTCAAAAACAGTCCTCAAAAAGATCATGGATTAGGTTCTTGTTCTTCGTGGTAGGCTTCAGCATCTATAACAGTGTCAAAGTTCTTACTTCGAAAATATCAGAATCGCTACCTTGGTCTCTTTCTCCGAATTTGGGGATTCATCAGTACGTCCTATCAAGTTTTCTGTTTTATGGCTGTTACAATTTGTATTTCGAAAGACAAGCATTGCCATGTAAGTTGATATCTTTGTCTCCGATGTAATTGAAATATTCCCTAATTTATTTCCCGTGAAGCTGATTTACTCTATGTATGTCGGCTTCATCAAAATTATCGAGTATTTATGGCTCACTTCAAGCACCAGATGCGGAAATTCTAATATTATGTCCCAGCACTTAAGTATGTGACCCACCTTGATTATACGTGGTGGCTACAACAAATTCGTTGCAAGGCGGATGTTTTATATTGATTGATGCCCAGTCGATTTTGTACGGTACGTGTTATCAGTCTTTATTTGCTGATGCGCTATAGGTTTTGGCACTAACTTTTATAACTAGTATCAATTCAGATTGTTGTAATGCACAGTATACTGGTCATTCGTGTCTAGGCGATCATGGGTAAGGAGCGCCGCATTTTGTGGGGCATCTTAGGTTTGCACGTCTGCTCTGGAAGCACGACTGTAACACTCTTCATTCTGTTAGACCCTCAGAAAAACGCGAACTATCCCTATCTGTGTGCATCATACGGTTGTTTACCCTGGCATCCTTACTGACATCGTACCTTTAGTTTACCGGGTGCATTCTTTGAAATTTGTCTTCTATCTGCCGCTGCATACTACGGGATCAAGCACTTGAAAAATTCGAGAGCCTTACAATTGTCACATACACGTATATTGCAAGAAAGTCCAAGACCAATCATGTGGTTAATGTTCCGGGATTCAGTTCTCTATTTCTTGCTGTGAGTCTCCCCTATATAAATCTACTTTATGTATCTGACGTTGGATTTTTTTCAGTGTTCTTTGCGCTGTTCCTGTAATGTTATTCATGGTATCCTTATCACCACAGACATGCTACACTTAAGTTGACGTTATATATAGGATGCACAGTTAGGTCTGTCAATTATGAGCATTACGGTAACCCATATGCTACTTCGCCTCCAAAAGATATTTTCAGACGCTTGTGGATAGGCCTCTGTTGAGGAAGGTTCGCTGACCTTCAGAGCGGTGTCAGGACAGACTTCGTCAGAGGTAGCAGGATAGAACTTTGACTTTGGTATCTGACAATTAAATATGATTTAGATATCACAAACCTAGCTCCTCAGGCTTTGATCCAGTAAGCCGAGAAAGCGTCCTTGCGTGAACAACCGAGCGGAGGTGTTGAATGCCGGCACTACTGGACCGGAAAGAAGGGGTTTGTCTGGACGTGTCGATGGATCGGACGTATATACTTATATTCTGCTATGTGGAAAAAAGGTGGGGCATCGTAGGCATGATAAGCTGGTATAGAATATTGGTCTACTGAAAAATAATGTGATCAATATATACGTAGTATCTGCCGTCTTGACCGCTTCAAAGGTGCAATGCCGCCTCTAGCACTCGATATAGCACTCGATATTCAAGGCGTAAGAAGATGTTTGTCCGAGACCGTGACGGAAGGGGCAAAGGCACTCATGAAGGAGAGATTGCAAAATTTATGATATATCAGGCGAATGTAATATTGAAGTAGATCACTATACCTGCAAAGTGAATACCCTCAGCACTCTTTTCTGTCTCTTTTTGATGGCACTATAGAGTCGTCAAAACCTGAGCAAATCCGAGCAGAAGAAGAACTTTTAGACGTCTGCTGAAAAGCTTCTCCCCGGCGGCATTCTCTGATTGCATCGGTTATCAAAGGAATCGTACTCGGAGAAGCAACAATATCTACAAGATAGTTCCCGGGGTTACGGTCACGTAATACAAACAATAACTAAGTCTTACTTCACTCCAATTTGTTTGCTGCAACTCGAAAATCGCCAAACGGAGGCCTTCGTTCCTGAACAATAAAGAAAAGGAGGCGAAGCTATCCATGGTCAGATCGTTGTGTGTCTGTGATAACCAACGTGATTTGGATTTTTTTGTCACTGAATGATGCGCCTTGAGCGAAGGATACATGGAAGCCCGAGAGTCATCACACCGAGTGGTAACTAGTTACTACAAAGATAAATAAGTGGCGACTGGCAGGACCCAGGTACCGATGCGGAATCGAACTCTCAACGGCCGAAAAAAAGGACATATGCTCTCATTGATAATGCCATGGGCCGTTAGACCACCACAACACTGAAAGCATAGGCGTGAGCATTGATTCATACACTGAGACAAAAGAATGAATGAAATATGACTCACCTGTATGCCTCTCTCAAACAAAAACTGATGCTAGCCTTGTGAAGGCTTTGTTGTACGGGAAGGCCACCAGCTGGCAAGCGAATCCAGACAACTAGCTGCCTACAGATACGATGGAGGGTAGCAAGTAACCGAACCATGTCGCTTCGAATTTTCTCAAGACTTTCGGAATTTCTCCTGAGGCTCCGCATTTGCATGATCTTTGTAGAAGAAGCCACCTGTCGCAAGAGCAGATGGTAAGTAAGGGTAAATTACTGTATCAAAACACTTCCCTTACAGAGAGTAATCTTGATTCCTGTCAAACAACTGAAACAAAAATGAACAGTACCATCTCTGTAGTCCTTACCTGCCCCAGAGAGGCTCGAACTCTCGACCTTCCGATTGCCTGTTAACAGTCGGACGCTGTAACCAACTCAGCCATGGGGCATACATTATCTTTGCTACATTAGCACATTATTATGCATCTGAAGAGTGATCCTACATACAACAATAATGTACTTGGAAAACTTTTCTTTATACTGATCGTTTAGTCTAAGTTATGGATAAATAACAATAACAGCGATGCGAAAAACCTCTCGCACATGACTTCGGTTATCGAAATGGGATACTTGGTAGGAAACCTTATTCTCGGTCTGACAACTGACAATAATGGGAATGTCGACGAATTTTACCTTGCAGCGACCAAGTCTGCTCACACCTACGACCGCTGACGAAACATCAATGTATTCCAAAGCGCGACGTCGTGCGATTTCGCGTTGTCGAAAGAAAATATCCTTGTTATGCAGATCTTCATGCACAAGGCATAAGAAGTTGTTCTCTTAGTCAGATTATACAACAGTTTCGTACTTCTCAAACTCCTTCACCAATACGCCCCACCTGCCTCCATGCCACGTCGACATATCCTTCCACTCCTCGCTATTCGCACCATATATGAGGCGCACCCACAAGACGAACGCGGCAACCGTGAAATCCGCGTATGAAAGAGTATCTCCCATCACATACTTGTCCCCCTTCCCATACCACGCATCGATCTTTCCAAAACCGGCCTTCACCTTCGCCCACTCCCTCACCTTGTCCTCGCCTTTCGGGATCGCATCCTCGAGTTTCTTCCCCCAAAAGCATTGGCCTCCCTGGTCCTCCTGAAATACTTCTCGCTGTAGGGATTCAAGATGAAATTGGACTGGATAAGCGCGAACTGCCAAAGAGGATCAAAGCGGGACTCTAACGCCTCGTTGAAGGCGTAGTGGAGCGCATCGGTACCCGCGGGGATGACAGTGGGTGTCTTGGGGTAGGTTTTGTCGAGGTATCGGACGATGGCTGCTGAGTCGGAGACCAGGGCGCCGGTGGAGGCATCGTGGAGAAGAGGACACGTGTAATGGGGTGTTACGCCGTCAGCCTTGGTGGTACTGGCTTTGGCGCCGAGCTTCTTGTACAGGCCTTCGATATCGGGGTACTCAACCCATTCAGTGTGGTATGGAAGCCCTTTATAGTTGAGCACGTATCTGGATGAAGTATTGAGCGACAGGTACTATATACGGGGGAGAAAACAAACCTGGCTTTCCAAATGTTAGGCGACCAAGCCTTGGTGGGGAGAGTCGATGAGATGTCGTATAGGGTAATGGAGGTGGACATTTTGGATGATTGGCAGAGTCTGGAGGATTGGTAGATATACCCAAAGCAGTCGAAGGCTGTGAAGGTGATTATCGAGCACGAGCTCATTGTTTCTCGTCACTGGGTATTCTGGGGCTGTCATGTGGAAAGGCTGACTGATGAATAGAAGTCGATAACTAATAAGGGGGCCCTCGTTAACGAAAGATTTGAAAGCAAAACGTGACTAGCCTGGTGACTGTCTCCCTCAATCGTCCGAGTCGTTGCAGGTAAGGAATCTCATCCGTGTAAAGTGGTGAGAGATTCTATGACCGTGTCAATTTCCCTTCCTTTCCAAGGCCCAAGGGAGAAAATAAGAGAGAGCGACTGTTATGACCGCCACTACAGACGAAAATAACCACGAAAATTGAAATTACATACGGAGTTGCGCCCCCGCTTGCCTTGGAACCCACACGGATCGACACCTGATTTCAGAGACAAGACTCCGAAATTTGTGGACCGAAAAGAGCGCACATCACAACTGATCATTCCCTCTAAATCCGATCATCAGTTCGGAGAACTGTTGGGAAATGTCATGAACGATCTTCGTAAACTAATAAGCAAAAAATTTACGCAGAGCAGCCTGCGCGGCATTCGACAGTTAGTCGTTCAGGGACACTATCAAGATGGGACCTCACATCGCTGACAGAGATATCCAACGCTGGCGCGTCCGTGGTTGAACCCGTGAGTTCGTCGCATGTGCTATTCAGGAGATGTGATGGCCACGGCCTGACCTGAAGCCACGCCCAAGTCCATACATCAAGGGGACGACGCACCCAGACTGCAGCCACGTCGGATAATCTCTTGTTGCTGGATATGGAATGCCATGGATGCCCGAGCGCTCGTTGTTCTGTAAGCTAAGTACGATGGGGGTGGATCTCCGCTGAGAAATCATACGCTGGAGGAGCAACAAACACGATGTTCGAGACCTATGTTCACTCTGAGGTCATAGCCGTCCTCGTCGCAGTTGTCGACCTAAGAAAAGAGGAGCCAATCGATCAATAGAAACGTGGGGGGTAGGAAGTCAGCGTACGGCATAGTGTTTAGAGCGAGACTGCGTGCTGCGATACGACTCGGGAAGCAAAACCTATTCTAGTGACACCATAGCGGGAGGGACTGGCACGTTTGGTACCTTACCATTTTCAGCTATATCCTCTTAACCGCTCGTACAAATTTGGGGCGACCAAAGCATTCCGAATGGTACCCAGAACTTTGCGCGTCTTAGTGGTATTCGTGTTGTTCAATCCTGCTGATGTGTATTCCATACAATATTTGTCAATTCAGGATGATAAGGAGATAGTAGGTGGGAAGTACAACGGTATCCTCTTGTGCTAGGACATCGAAGACCTTCAAATGAAGTAGACACAACATAGACTCACCTCTGGTACACCATCATTAGATCAAATATCAGGTATACGCATCGTCGTATAGCACTAGATGCTGTCACGAAATGACACAGGAACTGGCCCGTGCTTGCTTGCCGGAATAATGAACCGACTGATAGTAAACCAGAACTCGTTGATTTTGACGCGTCATTCGCTCAAAGAGGATTGTAGAAACAATTGAGGTTTGAACGTTTAATGATATCTGCCGATCAGCGATGCCAGATTGCGTACGTTTAGCATATCGCAATTGTAGGCCACAGGCTGCTTTAAGTTGAAATTAAATTCATGAGCCTTGACAGGTCATTTCGATCACTACGACTCACCCCACGTCTGGATAACCAGCTGCCACGCTTGGCTATTCCTCGGAAATTGATATGGTATACTTGAAAACTTGGAGGTCAATTGCGCAGGCTGGTTTTAGCACGAATAATTCGCGTACAAGACACCCAAGTTTGGTGATGGTCGTAGCCTGCACAGTGGAGGGCGATGGCCGGGACGACTATGTCAGCATTCAGTCTGGCAGAAAGAACTGTGGAGGTTTGAACGACTCACCTAGGACCGCTGACCCTTCAGAGAGTTTATCTTCCCAGCAACCAGATGCCCGCTACTAGCGAATGTTTATGCGGTTCCTCGCTGCAGATCTAATTACCGCATTTTTCTACCGCCCAGCGCCATCAGGTGCAACGATGGCCCACGTTCAATGTACGGCAGGAGAATGTAATATGTGACGCGACAAGGCAAAAAATGAAGTTGGCGGAGATAATGGTGGTAAGAGATCAAAAGGTATGTACTCCTTTTCCTACCACCATCAACCTTTCACCGACATGACCTTTCTTCTCCTCGCCGCATCGACGGAACCATGATGGACCTTTTCAAGGATTGATTTCATTAACGTCGTCCGGTAATCTTCCGGCAACCCGGACGAGGAAAAATTCGAGGAAGGTCTGCCAGTTTGGCACGACCGCACACGCGTTCTCTATAAACGGTTCTTATCGAGAAACTCGCTAACAAGAATTGCTTTTCGGGACGTGTGGCGCATATCCACGTAGAGAAGGAGGCACGGACGCGCTTAGAGGGCATCGGGATAACGTATGTCAGTGTGAGTTCGAAAATGGTCCACGTTCGTGCCGCATTACTCTTGGATACGTATCTCTCCTTAATCTCCCCTGAGAATGGCACATTTCTTTAAAACGCACGCTCATCTACCAGATCGCCAGCCGGGAGAACGATGTCTCAACGTTCCCCTCGCTGTCATTCTGTTTCTGCCACTGACTTCGGGTATCCGCGACCTGTTGGCAAATAGCTCATCGAACTCGATCTCTTGCCTTTCGCCTTCCTTCTGCAGATTCGCGTAAACCAATGGACATCCCACTCAAACTGTCACCCTTTTTCTGTGCAATCGTTTCGTTCTTCTGCCAATCGACTCTCGAGCGTGGACACTGCATGTCCAGTCTTGTCACACCGTCAAACTAAACAACGGCAATTGTCCAATGTTTGTACGGTACCCCTAATGGTTTCTTCCTACCGATGATCGTTTACTAACTATTGCTTTGCAGGGTATCCATCATGACGTGGACGGTGGACCCAGCCATGAAACCCGATTCGCAGGAAGCTCTTCTCCGAAGCCCTGCCGCGAGAGCGTCCAAATAAGCATACTTACGATGGACCCAAGACAACTTGATACCGTTCCGTCGCGAAGAAACAAAACAGTGATTGGACAGAAAATCGGTTCGCACAGCAAATCCCCGGGATGGCCCGTGAACTCGTGAACACGCTCGTTTGCGCTTTGGATACTCTGACAGCTTCTGCTGCTAACTTCCATGCGTAGAGGCTACTGATTGCGTCGTTTCTGGGGTGGTTTTGTCTGGTGTATGTCAGCGGTCAGCGGTGGTGCCAAGTAGTCTCACACTTCGTGCTCGGCACGAAGAACGGGCTTTTCTCGCAAGTCGCTCTTTTCCCTGTACCGAGGTGGTTAACTAAACATCTTTCAAAGAGGCTGTTCATCCCGCTAGACCCCATTACTGTCAAATAAGAACACTCCGTTCTCCTGTGTAATATCGACAGCCTGAGTGTCCTGTTGCGAAAGCAACCTTTTCTTTCACAAATTAAATATGGATCAATCAATGGGGTATACACGTTTGAGTGCCATCCGAATTCCGAACACGAGGGTGTGACTGATAACTTACCTCTTCGAAGAAAAGATTCGCAGAGCCTGACGCGCGAATCATGCTTAGCTGTCACCAAGTGTAAGTGGACCGACTGCCGCTCGGTCTCACAAGGACATACTGTACTCCGAGGGCGACCTTTCTCTTCATAGCCTCACCGCTGTCACGGTCCTGGCTCAAAAGAACATGCAAGCATTGATGCTGGCAGACACGGGTCCTCGGACGCGCCC